GGTATGAGGCTTTGAGATAGAAATCGTATGGCTCATTAGAAAGTCTATTTTAGGCCCTGTTGTAAGCAGCATATGTTTTCTGAGGAAGAAAATAAGACAGAGACTATGAGAGAACCTGAGAGCTTTATGGTGTCCTTACCTTGCCTTCAAGACGTAGCCCAAAATATATAGGCGAAATTTAAGGTTCGTATGTATGAGGACCAGGATTGTGTGGACTTGTATTTGATGACAGTCTTCTTTACCTATATAGTGTTGGTTTGATCTCGTTTTCGCAACTTGGTTTGAATTACAAACCTTATAATGCAACCATATTTAGAAATTGTGAAAATCTTTTTTGACTGCATTAAAGGCTTAAACAATTAAGGGAAAATTTATAACACTTTTACTGAAAAGTGTCATTGGATCCATAAAAACATAAACCTGTTTATAAAAGTAAACGTACCAAGCAAGTGCGTCCATATATTTCCTGTTTCAGAGTGTATTCTAAATATGGAACGAAAACATGAGCGGAAAGATGGCAATTGAGGCCGATGACCACGTAGAAGATATTCGTTATCCTTAAGCCAATGGGGCAAACTGTGATGGTGAACAAGTCTCCAGCCTTTTTGCCAAAGATGCATCATCAGTTCCTCAGCATGTTCAACAACCATAGTGGCAACCTCACCAAATTCTCGTGTATTCAGATTAAAAAAGCGACCACTATGGCTAGCAGATCGTCGATGGGAAGGTAATTTAAATTTTGAATCAGCATCTGGGGTTGCAGGTGCTTGGCCGTGAATATTTTCAAGATAAAATAGAATATCTGAGTTGGTATCTGAGGTCGAGAGTTTTGGGCCGGTGGACGAGGAAATATCGTTAGTGGTTGCATTTTCTGTACATAAATCAAACACTCTTTTGTGCACTCCTTCAGAAGATGGAGAGAATGGCTTCCCATCTATGTTTTTGACTCCGCCATCTGATATTTTAGAATTTTCAACTATTTCTTCACGTTGTGGCTTTACTAGAGGTGATCCATCAGAATGTATTCTACGATGACCACGGCAACATAAAACTACCTCCTGAAATGAAAATTTTTTTACAACAAAAGCAA